ACCAAGCTGCTTGCCTATTGCAGATTCATCTTCCCAGCCTGGTGCAGGTCTACAATTTTGTTTCTGGTGTCCTTCGACAGCTCTTTGGTCTTCACCAGATCAGACTTGTGGCATTCCTGGCCGCAGGATTGCGGACAGCCTAGCGCTTGTCCGGGACACGGTCCAATACATCAAGGACCGCCGTGTGCACGCGGCCCTGGTCAGTCTTGATCAGGAAAAGGCCTTTGACCGTGTCTCCCATGGGTTTATGTGCAGAGCCCTGCGCAGGTTTGGTCTCGGGGAAATGTTTTGTTCATATGTTGACATCATGTATAACGACATTTGTAGTTCCGTGCAGGTGAACGGCTGGAAGACTGACCCCTTCCCGGTCCTCTCCGGGGTCAGACAAGGCTGCCCTCTCTCACCTCTGCTTTTTGTTTGCTGTATAGAGCTCTTCGCCGAATGCATCAGACGGAATCCAGAGATCGGGGGAATCACTGCACCGGGACCAGACAGACGGGAAGTGAAGTGCTCGCTCTACATGGACGACGTGACGGTGTTCTGCGCCAACCAGCGCTCCATCGACCTGCTCGTCCAGACCTGCGAGGACTTCGGCCAAGCTTCGGGGGCAAAGGTCAACTGCGGGAAGTCGGAAGTCATGCTCTTCGGAAAGTGGTTCCTGCCTTCTTCTGCATCCATGCCCTTTGGCATCAAGACAGACTTCATGAAGGTTTTGGGAGTTTGGTTTGGTGCCGAGGGCGCAGCCCTGAAGTCTTGGGAGGAGAGACTGGCCAAGATGCGCCAAAAGTTTGGACTCTGGAGCCTCAGAGACCTCACCATCGAAGGGAAGACACTGGTACTCCGCAGCGAGATTCTCCCTGTGTTGCAGTACCTCGCCCAGGCCTGGCCCCCTCGGGTCAACACCTGCAAGGCCATCACCAGGGCGGTGTTTCACTTCATCTGGGGCTCCAAGATGGACAGAGTGAAGCGGGCAGTCATGTTCAAGGAACCCCTCAAGGGCGGTAAGGGCGTGCCCGACATCGCCACCCAGCTGAGGGTGTTCTTTGCTTGCAACTGCATCCGCAGAACTTTGCCAAGACGGACTATGGACTCTGGCGGGAACGCAATGTCTCGCTTCTTCCTGTTGCCTCTCTGGAGGTCCCTGGGGTGGGACACCTGGGATAGTTCCATCCCCTACAACTGGGACACTCCTTGGTACTACTTGGACACCTTCAAGTTCATCAGGGAGCAAGGGCTGCAGGGAGTCAAGCCTGACTTGTGGAAGCCAAAGACAATCTACAAGCTCATCCGAGCCAGCGACATTTTGGAGTCGGTTCCAGGCCTGCCTTCAGACACCTGCAAGGTGGTCTGGAGGAATGTTTCTTCCAACATTCTTACCAACAGGCACAAAGACCTGGCATGGATGGCAATCCAAGGGGGGTTGCCTCTCAGGACATTTATGCATGCCAGGAACCTGAGCAGATACAGACACTGCCCCTTCTGCATCATCCATGAGGAAACGTCTTACCACGTTTTCTGGGAGTGCTCATTTGCTCAGGCCCTGTTGGGGGCCCTGGAACCTGAACTCAAGGACTTTGTGCCACAGACAGCCATCACTCACTTTGGGGTGTTGAATGGACTATTCTGTGGAACTTTCTCTCTGGAGGACATTGACAGCGCCTGGAGGGTGCTGTGTTGCTTTAAGGACGCTTTATGGTGCGCCAGGAAGCGCCTCATCCACCAGCGGGAGAGGATGTCCATTGAGGACTGCCGCAGACTGACCCTCAGTCTGCTCAGAGACTATTCCTTGATGGACTTTAAGGAGGAAGAGGACGTCTGAAGATTTCCCCCTTCCCCCTACTCCCCCTTGCGTGTCTTTGTCTTTTCAATAAAGCTTCGGGCCTGTGGTTTCCCCCCCCCCCCCCCCCTCCCCCTTACCACACATACCCGATGCCTATTGATTGATTGCAATATCCGGTTTTTCGTTTTTTTTTTTTTTTTGCATGCACTAGTATTGTTAGGTAACGTAATGTGTAGTAGAATGTTACAGTTTTTGGGGTAAGCGGCGTTATGCATGACGTGGTGGTCTGGGGATTCATCCTCGGCACATCACGTCAGGCATCATACCGCTGAGCGAATGTATTTATTTCTGAATGTATTTATTGTATGCTTGGAACTGTATTGCCATGTGGTGCGCTGCGTCGCAGTACAGGGTGAGATGTACCCCGATTACACGTATCATGTTGTTTTTGATGCTTCTGCAATAAAAGTATCTTTTCAATCAAAAATAGTGGAGTTTGGAGTGTGACTGTTTGCGGTTGTGGACAGGTGTCTTTTATACTGATAACAAGTTCAAACAGGTGCCATTGATACAGGTAATGAGTGCAGGACAGAGGAGCCTCTTAAAGAAGAAGGTACAGGTCTGTGAGAGCCAGAAATCTTGCGTGTTTGTAGGTGACCAAATACTTATTTTCCACCATAATTTGCAAATAGATTCTTTCCAAATCAGCAAATGTGATAGTCTGGATTTTTTTTCTCATTTTGTCTCTCATAGTTGAGGTCTACCTATGATGCCAATTACAGGCCTCTCTCATCTTTTTAAGTGGGAGAACTTGCACAATTGGTGGCTGACTAAATACTTTTTTGCCCCACTGTATATGATTAAAGGATGCCATTAGGTTAACAGTATGCATCTTATAGAACCATGCTCGTATTAAATGAATTCCACTAATTAAAAGATATTCTCCACCTATAATGACTTGCTGAACGCACAGTAAAAAAAAAGTGTCCCTAGAAATTTTTCTGAAATGTTGGCAACTATGCATGTTTTCCTTTCCTCTCTTGAGGAGTGTTTTTTTTTTTTTTTGCAGTCCTCCCATACAAGCCACATTTGTGGAGAATTTGTGATATTGTTGTCACGTGCACACAAAGACCACTTTTTGTCATAAATTCCTGCAGCTGCTTCAGAGTTGCTGTGAGCCTTCTGGTAGCCTCTCTGACCAGTTTCCTCCTTGCTCTTTCATCCAGTTTGGAGTGATGTCCTGATCCACGGAGGGTCTGTGCTGTACCAAATACTTTCCACTTCTTAATAATACACTTCACTGAGCTTCTAGGCATTGATAAAATCCTTTAAATGTTTTCGTACCCATCTCCTGACTTGTGCCTGTCCACAAACTTTATCTTTTGACGGTGCCTTGCCAACCATAGTTGATTATTTGCTTCAGTTGCACTGCTTGGTACTGAAATGCTCCTGGAAAGCTCTTTCCATGCTGAATTAATAAAAATGACCACATCTGATCATAGTTGAAAGTCAAATGGCTTTTTGTGCCATTGAGAAGGTGATTAGCTACAACCTGATTGAGTTTACAGGTCATTTTTTAGGAGGGGGGGGGGGGGCTGATCCCTTTTCCAACTCAGTGATTCTGTTTTTTAATTTTTTTTTTTCTGACATGTTGCTGTTATATCTTTCACTTAGATGTTATAAGTTGCACTGAGTAAATACAACTGGATAAAACAAGAGCTGTGTGTCTTCATTTAGGGCAGCAAAGCAACAAAATGTGATTATTTAAAAAGGAGGGGGTGATTATTTTCTATACCCACTATATGTAATGCCAAACTTTTTATAGCTTTATATAAAGAAGGGAAGGGTTTAAACCCATATCAGGTTATTTTATGCTGCCTGTGTTCTGCTGAAAAGATTTGCCTTCACTTTCTGTCCTGGAATTTCAACAAGAAATGTGAGGAATGTTTGCAAAGTGAATGGAATTCCCATCTTAGATAGTTGTCACAAATACTGGTTTCCTCAAGGGCCCCTTTAGGGTTCATAAAGCCTATAGAGGATCAGTGATCATTTCTCCGATCTTCTTCCACTTTTCATCTTGCCTTCCCCTCCACCAGTACCAGGCTTACAGAGGAGCAAGGCAGGTCTGAGGACTTCAAAGTCATTTATTGGGATTTTTTTTTTATTTAATGGGCATTAGCCAAACTCAGCTGGGTAAATCACAAGGCAAAAATATACTAGGAAGTACAGTGAATGGCACCACTAACATCTAAATACTTGTTAAAGGCAAAGCCATATTAAAGTTCAATGATTTATACCTACAGGTAAGCCTATAATGAGGCCTACCTGTAGGTACAGTAAATATCTCCTAAATGTGCACTGTTTAGGAGATATTTGCTTTAGTAGCAGCTGGTGATGTCACCAGCACATGCACACTGCGCTCTCAATGGAGGGCATGCTACTCATTCAGAGCGCTGTGCCACGGTCGTGACTCCCATGTGCATGCGCGGGAGTAATGTCATTGCAGCTCAGCCTGCTCAGCGAAGCCTGCAAACCCAGAAAAAAGACCAGGTGAAGATGGTAGCCAAAGCAGTGGTGACAGTACTCTGCTGAAAGACTTCATTTTAACGTAAGCCTGTCATAATGCACTAATATGCAATGCATACTAGCATATTATGACATTACCTGCACTGGCCCAATTTTTTTTCCTACTACCGCATTAATGAAGCAATCATAATCTTTTCACTGTATGGCATACAGTTTCTGATAAGTAAATATTTGTATTGCAATTAGAAGTGCATGCTGTTAATGTTTCTTTAACCACTAGCCTACAGGGCACTTATACCCCCTTCCTGCCCAGGCCAATTTCCAGCTTTCAGCGCTGTCACACTTTGAATGACATTTACGCGGTCATGCAACATTGTACCCATATGAAATTTTTATAATTTTTTTGTGCCAGATAGAGCTTTATTTTGGTGGTATTTAATCACCCCTGGGTTTTTTATTTTTCCTTCACTGATGTGCGCTAATGGGGCTGCACTGATGGGCACTGATAGGTGGCACTGATGAGGAGGCACTGATAGGTGGCACTGATGGTCACTGACAGGCATCACTGATGGGCACTGAAAGGCAGCACTGATATATGGCACTAATAGGAGACACTGACTGGCACTGATAGGTGGCACTGACTGGCAATGTTAGGTGGCACTGATAGGCGGCACTGACTGGAACTGATAGGCGGCACTGATAGGTGACACTGATTGGCAGCACTGATAGGTGGCACTGATAGGTGGCACTGACTGGCACTGATGGGTGACACTGAAATGCAGCTCAGATGGGCACTGATATGTGGCATTGATGTGGCACTGATGAGCACTGGCAGGTGGCATGGATGAGCACTGAGAGCTGGCACTGATGGACACTGACAGGTGGCACTGCTGGGGCTACACTGATCGTCAGGGCACACTGATCGGCAGTGCCCTGATGATCAGTGCACATGTCCCCTCCGAGGAATGCCAATTGCCGGCTCTCCTCTCCTCACGAGCTGTCAGCGTGACAGCTTGTGAGGAGAGAAATGCAGATAACCGGCATTTCCCTGTTTACATGAGATCAGCTGTGATTGGACATGCTGATCACATGACCGAGCCAACATCTTCAGCTCTTTCCGTGGATCGGTGATGCGCTGTGTTTGAGGGACACAGCGCACCGCCGATCGCCGTGCTGCGCACTCCCGGAGCCGCGCATGCACGGTAAGAATGGGGAGGACGTCATATGATGATAACGAGAGAACCGCCTTGTGTCCGTCATTGGACTATGTGGCGGGCGGGAGGCGGTTAAAGAGTTATTGTGCTTTTCTGTGGGTATAGCACCATTATTCATTTACACAAAAGTGGGCATACCACTATAATTTTCCATAACTACTGTAAAAATCTAACATGTTTCGTATTACTTTACATATGGTCTCTGTTTTTATAAATCAATAACTGATTCATTACTTCATTAGTTTATATTTACCTGATATTTTTCTGTTCCTCTATAAGAAGATCAACAAAGCGCTCCTTACTGCAGTTTTCATGTGTCATCACTTTGAGGGTCTTTACTGTAACTTCTGTACACCCCCACATCAGACTACATAAAGAGAATAATAAACACTGTTAAAGATAACATCCAGCATTTAGTTACCTACATATACTAGCTAATAACACAGCAACTGTGCTAAAGTAAGAAAATTTACTCAAAGGTTCTCTGTAATACACCCTTGCAGAAAAACAAAAAACAAAAACACATCTCTACACAGGATCAGTAGCAATATACTTCCTAAAACATATCATATATATACATATACACATATACACCGTGTTCCAAATTATTAAGCAAATGATATTTTTCTCATTTACCTAAATAATTGATGTAAATAACAGCATAATTCTCATGTTATTAACTATTAAGAGTACAATGCAAATTTTATTGAACAAACCTCCTAATGATAACAGTATATTTTTTAAACATAAAAAACTTACAATGCACTGTTCCAAATTATTACACACAGTAAGTTTCAAAACACTTTATAGGTTGTAAAGAACTGAAAATTGTCATTTGTTGTGTTTGAAGCATATTTACTGAAACCAAAAGCTATTTCAATCAAACTTTTTTTAACAACATTTTAACTTTTTAAACATTTGAACAGGTCACGTTACATTTTAACATAGGACCCCTTATTTGATAGCAGCTTCACAAGTCTTGCATCCATTGAACTTGTGAATTTTGGACAGTTTCTGCTTGAATTTGTTTGCAAGATGTCAGAATAGCCTCCCAGAGCTGCTGTTTGAATGTAAACTGCCTCCCACCCTCATAGATCCTTTGCCTGAGGATGCTCCAAAGGTTTTCAATAGGATTGAGGTCAGGAGAGGATGGAGGCCACATCATGACTTTCTCTCCTTTTATCCCCATAGCAGCCATTGATGCAGAGGTAGTCTTTGCAGCATGAGATGGTGCATTGTCATGCATGAAGATGATTTTATTACGGAAAGCATAGTTCTTCCTTCTGCACCAGGGAAGAAAGTGGTCAGTCATAAACTCCACATACTTTGCAGAGGTCATCTTTACACCTTCGGGGCCCCCAAAGGGGCTGCCCAGCTCTGTTCCCATGATTCTGGCCCAAAACATGACTCCACCACCGCCTTGCTGACGTCGCAGCCTTGTTGGAACAGGGTGGCCGTCCACCAACCATCCACTACTCTATCCATCTGGACCATCCAGGGTTGCATGGCACTCATCAGTGAACAGGACTGTTTGAAAATTAGTCTTCATGTATTTTTCTGCCCAATGCAGCCATTTCTGCTTGTGAGCATTGGTTAGTGGTGGCCGAATAGAAGGTTTATGCACAGTAGTAAGACTCTGGAGGACTCTACACCTTGATGTCCGTGAGACACCAGAGGCACCAGCAGCTTCAAATATCTGTTTGCTGCTATGTAATAGTATTTTAGCAACTGTTCTCTTGATCCGATGCATGGATCTGGCAGAAATCTTCCTCAATGTGCCTTTATCTGCACGAACCCGTCTGTGCTCTGAATCAGCCACAAATTTCTTAATAGTGCAATGATCACGCGAAATATCGACTGTTTTCATACCTCGTCCAAGGCATTGAACTATTTCACTCTTTTCGGCAGCAGAGAGATCCTTTTTCTTCCCCATATTGCTTGAAAATGGTGCTCTGCTTAATAATGTGGAACACGTCCTTTAGTAGTTTTTCCTTAAATTGGGCTCCCCGGCCAATCTAATTATCATAGGTGTCTGAGATTGTTTTCAGTGATCAAAAGAGCCCTGACACACAACGCCATCCATGAGTTAAACTGAAAAACAAAATATTTAATCTTTGTGACACTTAAATAGAATTTGCATAATAATTTGGAACACGGTGTACACACAGTGCCTTGAAACAGTATTCATACCCTTTGAAATGTTCCAAAATTCTACAAATTTTGTCATGTTACAACCAAAAATGTAAATGTGTTTTATTGGGATTTTGTGGAACAGACCAACACAACATGGCACATAATTGTGAAGTGGAAGGAAAATGATAAATGGTTTTCTAAATTTTTTACAAATAAATATCTGAAAAGAGTGGTGTGCATTGTATTCAGCCCCCTTTACTCTGCTACCCCTAAATAAAACCTAGTGGAACTAATTGCCTTCAGAAGTCACCAAATTAGTAAATAGAAGCCACCCGTATGTAATTTAAACTCAGTATAAATATAGCTGTTCTGTGAAGCCCTCAGAGCTCTTTTTGTGAAAATTAGTGAACAAACAGCATCATGAAGGCCAAGGAACACACCAGACAGGTCAGGAATAAAGTTGTGGAGAAGTTTAAAGCAGTGTTAGGATATAAAAATATCCCAAGCTTTGAACATCTCATGGAGAAATGTTCAATCCATCATCGGAAAATGGAAAGAGTATGGCACAACTGCAAACCTACCAAGACATGGTCATCCACCTAAACTGACAGGCCGTGCAAGAAGAGCATTAATCAAAGAAGCAGCCAAGAGACCAATGGTAACTTTGGAGGAGATGCAGAGATCCACAACTCAGGTGGGAGAATCTGTCCACAGGACAACTATTAGTCGTGCACTCCACAAATCTGGCCTTTATGGAAGAGTGGCAAGAAGAAAGCCATTGTTGAAAGAAAGCCATAAGAAGTCCCGTTTGCAGTTTGCAAGAAGCCATGTGGAGGACACAGCAAATATGTGGAAGAAGGTGCTCTGGTCAGATGACACCAAAATTTGGCTTAAAAGCAAAACCCTATGTGTAGCGGAAAACTAACACTGCACATCACCCTGAACACAATATCCCCAATGTGAAACATGGTGGTGCCAGCATCATGTTGTGGGGATGCTTTTCTTCAGCAGGGACAGGGAAGTTGGTCAGAGTTGATGGGAAGATGGATGGAGCCAAATACAGGGCAATCTTAGAAGAAAACCTCGGCTAGTCAAATGCCCACAGCCCGCGAACCTGGAAGGGATGTCACTATTACAACAACTGAAGTCAGAATAGCTCCACAACCTATACACGTGATATATTAGGTATTTAACCTTGGTCTGTTTTACAGATGCTAAAAGACAGCAAAGCATTTCCCTGTGTCATGCCTACTGAGCATTTTGTAGAGCAAAAAGCACTTAAAGCCAGGGTAGTGAAAAGGTATTTTGAATAACTTTAGTTTTAATAGTTTATCCGTTATTTCTACATGGGGAGTGGGCAAAAAACAGTAAAGCTAACCTTCTATTTTCATAGAGGGTCTGCTTTTAAGTAATCAACTTGGCTATGCAACAGAATGTTATTTCCCCTTCAATAAACTATACAACATGATAAATTAGGTTGCTTTATAGATCTATTTTCAAGAGCAAGTTGATATTCCATTTGTTCTAAGAGGAAGTCACCTTCTCTGTGCAGTCATTGCTGTTTATAATGTGTGATTAGCTATTCCAAATTTATACTTTGACATCTTACTTTGTCATTGTCATATACGGTCCAGCAGAAAAGCTGAAAGCAGGCTTGCAGTCATCCTGTACAACACTTTTATCTTCAATTAAAGGAACTGTTGCTATAAATCCCAACTGTCTATCGATTAAGAAAAGCTGAAATAAAGCAATTATTACTTCCAATTAAAAAAATGCAAGTAATAGTATGTACACATATATTTTCTGAACAAGCTTACAGTGCTCATACACATTTAACTCCTTAGTGGTAAATTAATTTCAGGCATTACCTCTCCATATCCAAAGGTACACATTCTCTTTACCGAAATAGTTTTACACTTATGGTCTTTTGGGAGAGATTTATCAACTTTTCTGAAAAAAAAAAAAAAAATCACAAACATGAGTTAGTTTCTTTGAAATGCAGTGGAATAAAGCTTCGAGTGTCATACTTATCAATTTGAAGGGGTTTACATTTGCATAGGTAAACTAAAAGCCCATTCTACACATTACAGAATAACTTTACGTTCCGTTAAATTCCTTCCCGTCACCTTCATTAAAAAAAGTAACCTTCATTAAAAACAGCCATACAAAGGTTTCTTACTAGTCTTTACAGTGATGGGCTATGTTTAGGTTGAAAATCCAGCCCAGAGGCTTCACTCTAGTTCACATTAGCAGCACCAGACACATAAAAATGGATGGAAGGACTGTATACCAGACTAAAATACACACTGAGGGTTTATTAAAACGCTAATCTCCATCTATGCCTCTTTTATTTCTCTCTCTTATGCTTATTTTGCAAAAATCAAGGTATCAGATTTTATATAATCTGAACAAAGAGAGCCTCTGAAGCAATATGCTACTAGTCTAATTAGTAATTGGTAAATTACTGCATGACACATTAGTACAAGTAGGTGTCTTATTATTTGTTATTAATATACATGGACTTCAAAACATGACTGTCTTTGTGTAGCAGTAGGAAGCGTTATTTCCAGGTCAAGGCTGCTAACTCAGAAGCTTTCAAAAGTGATGGCAAACAAAAAGGCAATCTTGCTTAAGGGAAGACAGGGAACTATCCATAATAGGCTGAAAGTGACAGAGGTTTTGAAACACCTTGGGGTGAATAAACCAATCTCAGGAGTTCAAACATCAGCAACTAAGGCTATCTACCTGCCGGTTTT